AGAAAAGCAGAGGGAAACCCACAGCGTGGACAGACTCCCTTCTTCCCTTACTACAACTGCATGTAAATCAGTGCAAGTGAACGGAGCTGCCACTGTAAGTATTTGCTCTTGTCTTTTTCCCCCAACAGTCACAGAGACTCTAGTGTGACAAAAAGTCACAGCACTGCCCTCCTGCTCGATTTTTGTTGTTGTTGTTTGTTTGTTAATTTAAATTTTCCTTTGTAATGTAGGCACATTTTTTTTTAAATTTATAGTTGTAGATGGACAGCCTGCCTTTATTTCACTTGTTTATTTTTCTATGTGGTGCTAAGGAATGAACCCAGTGCTAGGAAAGTGCTCTGCCACTGAGCCATAGCCGTCAGCTCACTTTAATCCAACCTAATGTGATGGGTTTTTTTATGTGTATCTGTGTGAATTGTTTTCTGTACAGAATACAGTGTGGATTGATAGAGGTTTCTTGAGTAGAAATAATACTCCCCAACCCCTGTTCTTCTATAGAAATTTTGATCAGTTTAGCATTTACTCTGTGATAAAAAACAGAAGAATATTCTAAGTTTAGCTGCACACACCTGTAATTCCAGCTACTTGTGTACCTGAAGCAGAAGAATTGCAAGTTCAAGGCCAAGCCAAGCAACTTGGTGCCTTAAAAATTAAAAGGACTGTGGATGTAGCTCAGTGATAAAGCTCCCCTGCGTTCTAGTACCAAAAAAGAGGGGCGGCAGAGTAACTAGAAAGAAAAAAATGGATAAGCTTTTACCCTATGGGTCTAGCAGATCTTCATTCTGGATTCCAGTTGCTCTTCCTTCCTGTCTGGTAGATTTATTTTTGATGAGAATAGCCTTTCTTACTTCTGATTTTAGTCATTCTCAGTTTGGGCTTAGGTGAGCTGTTTAGATTTGGAAGTTAAAGTTTTCGCTTTTATCTTCCTTGTTCTTAAGCTTATATTTCCTGCCCTCTAATTTGAAATGTGTTTTAAAAAAAAAAGTTGTGAGGGCTGCTGGGTGTATGACAGCTGGGCTCCCCCTTGTGAGCACCTTGGAAAGTTCTGCCTCTGTGTGCTGAAGGAAGTAGTGTTGGTGTCTTTTTCTTGAAACATCATTTTTTTCCCCCTTAGGCCTCTTCTTAGGCTTCCACATTGCCCAGGAACACTTAAAGGCTGCACAGTGGACAGACTTTGGGCACATTTGGTTCACACTTCATTCCTATACCTTTTCTAATTTTACCCATTTTATAAAAGTAAAAGCACTTGTAAAGATGAAAATTTACTTATAATTGAAACTTTCTTTTTACTTTAACTTGATTTCCCATGTCATCCTTGGAGATGCCATTTTGTACATGTAATTTCACACTTGTCTATTTCCAGGAATTGCGAAAACCCAGTTATGCAGAGATTTGTCAGAGAACGAGTAAAGAGCCTCCTTCCTCCCCGTTGCAACCCCCAAAAGAACAAAAGCCAAACACTGTTGGTTGTGGGAAGGAGGAAAAGAAGCTCGCTGAGCCCATGGAGAGATACAGGGAGCCTTCTGCCCCCAAGTCCACTCCTGGAGCCCCCAAAGACCAGAGGAGACAGCCGGGGCGCCGACCCTCACCCCCAGCTGTCGGGAAGCGTCTCAACAGAGAACAGAACACTCCCCCAAAGTCTCCTCAGTGAAAACTGTATGCCTGGGAGGGGTCGCAAAGAGCTGTATTAACCACAAACAAAACTCTTCCCACTCAGTATAAGAATGAGTCGCTGGTTAGGAGCTTGCAGTGTCTGTGAGGCCCATGGGATGCCTGCAAGTTATTTTTCTTCTGTGAGTCGGATTCTCCCACTCTTGAAAAAAATCTATTTTTCAGGATTTAATTAATATAAACCTTATTTTAGGTTGGTGCTTAACTGGAGGTGATGCATAAGTCTGATTTTTTTCAGGGTAGAAAAATGCATTTATCCTAACAAATTGATATTTTTTATTAAGCCTCCACATGGCTCTGAATGCAAGCTATATATAGTAAGTTTTTCTAAATTAAGGGAACTATGCTACTTTTTTTTTTTTTTTTTTTAAATAACTGGTCTGCAAGTGCATATCTTTAGGTGTCCCAGCAGATGGATGAGGGCTGATAGCGCTGACAGAGGCAGACCCAGCCTCACAGAGGAAGGGGCTAGCAGTGTCAGGGCGCCAACACACTGGCATGGAGCTGTGTTTTCATCTAGACCATTAACAGGTGATTCTAGATTTTTGATTTTAAAAAAAAAAAAAAAGTTCTTTTTTTTTGACCTAGTGGGCAGAATGAACCTGCAGAGAGCACCCTAGAAAGATTTAACACCTTAGAATTTTGAAGTACTGCAAGCAAGTAACCAGCTTCTCACTCCAGTTTCAAGTGGCTATTATGTAAAATAAATTCAAAGCACATTGTGAATAGAACCTAAATGAAAATATAAACTTTGTTGCCCACTGACACATTACCACAAGTTGTACCATGATGTTGTTTTGATCCCTGTGAGCTGGCTGCCTGGCTCCTGGCCTTGAGCCTGCTCTGTGCACATTTCTGTCCATGTCCCCCTAAGCACTCTCATTGAAGAGTCCACATCTTTAGTCAGCTCCATGTGGATGTCTTCCTGTACCTCTGCATCGGCACATGGATTTAAAAGTATGTAACCGTGAAAGAATGGTGTTTGTGGTTTTTCCCCCTCTTTGGCTGGTGGAGGACAGAAATTCCTGCTCTTTTTACCTCCAAGATGAGGGTTTCATTGATTCACTTCTAGAAGTGTTGCACTTCTGATGAACAAGGATGCACTAAAGTTAGCAAGTTTATAATAAAGTTAAATATAAATTATTTTGTTTTAAAATGCCTAAAATTTTTCTTTAAGTATTCTAAGCAGCAGACATTAAAATATTTCCTGCTAAATGTAACCATACAGTTTATTCCACAAAATGTTATTTAACAAGACTGAGGGTTTTTTTTAAAAAAAAAAAAAAATTATTTCCATCCAATATTTAAAGACTTGAATTTTATTTAAACTTGAAAATGACTTTGCCTTAACTTTTGTATAAGACAGCTTAGAGCTCATGGAGACCGGCCCCTGGGTTGGCAGGAGTGGATCAGAGTTACTCAGTTACCGGTGTGGATCTCTTGTTGTTAGCTTTGCTGAGTAAGCATACTGTAGTACAAGAACTAGCGGTAGTTTTTGTAATATACCTTAAAGATCTTCAACAGTTGATCTTTTTTCAGATTGTTGAAAAATCCTGTAAATGCAAATAGTCGATACTGTATTAAATATGTGCACTTGGGAGTGTGCTTTGCTTGTACAGTTGTAAATAATCAGAACATATTAAAAAGGTACCCTACAGAGAAAAATCTGATAAAAATTATTGATATATTATAAATGTTGCTGTTGAGCTGGATGTAGATAAACTAAATGTTGTGGTTTGAACATTATTTTAATTTGTTGAGGTTTTTTTCCCCCCCCTCTTATATTGGTATGTTGAACTGATTCTGCCTCTTTGCTGCAAAAGGGAAGTGGAAAGTCTTTTAAAAGCCTTCAGATGTTTTCATATTCTTAAAAAGTATATAAGTACATGCTAATCATATCTAATGTGAAGGGTTTTGAAGTATAGAAAGCAGAAACTAGCAGGATATGCAAGTGAAAGTTAAAAAAAAATCTAATTAAAAAGTACACTGCTAAGTGTGGTTTATCCTGCCAGGAAAAAAAAAAAAACAAAACATGCTTGATGTATTTGACCATTTCTTTCAGAGCAGTTGTCATTATTCAAATATATAGAAATAAACACAATGCTAATAGGCTTCAATTGCCCATTAAAGGAACATGGGGATTAATTTCTTTATAGTTGTCAGATCACTGACCAAGAAGGAAAAAAGTCAGAAATAATTGATTTCTTAAACCCAAGCTAACAGATACTGTAAAAGCTGGAAAGGCAAGCTCTGAGACCTAGGGTCCTTCATGTCACATATTTGCTGGAAGAGGTGCCAGGGAATTGAAAGCCACCTCATCCCCAAGTCACAATGCCCACAGGGTGAATCCTGGTTTTTAATAATGGGCAGTCCTTTCCCCAAGGCGCAAGCATTGCAGCGCCGTGTGTGTAGGTAGCCAGCTATATAGTTTCCAAGTTTGTTTATGAGCTGAAAGTATAAAGGTCAGCAGCTGCACACAGGACAGAGAGCAGGTGGGCATGTGTTGGCGTAGGTAGTCATGACAGTGAGGGTGCTGTTCTGGTAGGTTCTGCTGCCATTTAGAGGAGGTCAGTGCACTGTTGATTTCTGCTTAGCCAGGGACCGTCTGGCATCAAGAGCTAAAACTATGCTCAGATGTCATTTTTATAGCACTCTGTTTAATTAAGCAAAGGTGATATGCCAAATAGCTACATGTCAAAACAAACGAGACAAAAAAACAAAACAACCTTTCTGATAGTACCTTAAGATTTTCCATTCAGCTAGAAAATGGGAGTTATCACTATAGGAAGCTGTGAGGGCGCATGCAGACTGTTGCTATGTCACATACAGCTAATGATATGTGGTTTTCATACTTTTTATTTACTCCTTCCTTTCTCAGCAGTATCTTGAGTTATAGAATCAAATACTGCAGTCACAAATGACATTTTAACTTGTAAAATTGTGTGATACTAATCATTTGGAAATATAGGAGTAAGAATCTGGCCCGTGTCACCAGACATGAATTTTGAGTGGTCGCTCTCTAAGAATTGGTGTCATGATGTCTCTGATCAGTCCCTCCTGTCATTGCATCACTGGTTGCCACTAGTGGGTGGCAAAAAATGTCTTATGTTGCTGTATTAGTCAGGATTTTTGCAGTTTACATTTAAAAACTGGTATGATGTATTACAACAGGTGACTGATGGTGCATACCTGTCTTTGTGTCCCCTTCAGTGAGCTATAGTCGTGGGTTTTGTGTGCTTTGTAGCCTGTTAACACGGAAAGCAGCAGACAATCGAAGATTCAAGGAGTACTAACAGCTGCCAAGTCACAGAAGTGTAATGTGGAAGCTTTCTTGAGGGTTTTCTTTTTGTTCTACTTCTTTTCATTAAGACTGGAATCAAGCTTACATGTAAACTATTGGTAATTTAAGTTTCCTTTTGTGTCATTCAGTGTAAAACTGTCTAATTTGGAAAAAAAATGTAGGTTATGAAAAATAAAGATTTAGGCACTGTTCAGTTTTTCTTTTGATTTTTTTAATTAAAACTTCAAGAATGCATCTTTTTAAAAAATGATTTTTTTTTTTTTTTTTTTTTTGGGTTTTTTTTTTTTTTTTTTTTTGGTCTGTTCCTATCAGTGTACATGAGAAATACACAGGTGCCCAAACTTAGTTGGAGTTGTAAAGGCTTCCAAGCCTGTCATGTGAGTTGATCCACAGCGCACAGGTTTCCCTCTTATGTATTAAAAGTGTACAGAGTATGCATTAAAATCGAGTATTCATGAAGAGGCCATCATTAAGCCCAAGGTTTAATACAAAAAGTGAATATCCCTGGGTAAGGATCTCCTATTTCTTTTGTTAAAATGGTGACACCTCTCATAACAAGTCCCCAGAGTTATTTGGAATTGCTTTTGAGTTGGTGTGGTCTCCAGATCACAAGTGAGTGGTCTCAGAAAACAAAGTTATGGACTCCTGCCATAAATACTGGTGGTGCCAACATGCATCTGAGGCTAAGGTAGGTGAAACAAACCTACTAGACCTTGGTCTGTTTAATTGTTAACTGACTGATTTTCCTTTGCTGCAAGTTGCCTTTTCATATCTTTTCCCTATTTTTCTACCAGGTTATCTTTTCTTATTGAAATAATGATTATCTGTTTTGGCTCTGAATCCGTTGTTTTACATGTACATATATATAAAAAATATTTTGTCAGTGTACCAGTTGTCTTAACTTTATTTAGAGTAGTTTTTTTTTTTTACAGTTTTTTATTATTATGTAGTAAAATTTATCAATCTCCTTTGTGGTTTGAGAGTCTTGGTCTCGTTTAAGAAGTCACAAAAGTAATATTTTCCATACTTTTGTCTTTAATCCAGCTGGAATTTTGATTTTCTGAGTGTCTATGTAGTCAGAGGTAGGAATCCAGTTTTAGTTTTTGCTAAATGGGAAGTTTCTTTTTCCAGTATCATTAATTAGTTCATTATTTCTCCACAGGTTTGTAATGCCACTTTTGTTACTTCAGAGAAACCACCCACATATACCTGGATCTTTATCTGGTCTTTCTGTTTTTTTCTCTCTCTTTGGACTGACACCATAGTGTTTAATTCACCCATCATTCTGTATTACTAAGATTTTTTTTTTTAACAGAATTCATCAGAGTTGAAATAAAATGTGCTCCGTGAAGACAAGAATTGTTTCCATCTGAATCACCATCACATCTCCTGTTTTTAGTGCAGTCTATAGCACAGTATATGCTCAATAACAATGTTAACTGCAGTGTTTATTAATTATATGTTCTTGGTGCACAGCGCTGGCCTTGGAATTTTAGGAACAAATAGGCTGAGGTTGTGATTTGCTATTGCCATGTAACAAACTACCCCAAAACTCAGTGGCTTAAAATGATAATTGTACCTCTGTAGGTTGACTACTACGTTTGGTCTGGTCAAGCAGCAGAACTTAAGACGTGTTCTTTTCATGGTTGTGGAAGTTGTGCAAGAACTAAACCTTAAATGTTAGCATCCTTTTTTCCTCAAAAAAGAACTGTGAACTTGAATGCAGCCATTCCTTGATATATCCTGATTTTAATGTTGAAATTCTATATTTCTCTAAATTGTTGGATAAAACTGATAATTGAAGGAGTACCACTAACACATTGCCATGTGTTTCCTGATTGGGTACAAGCCATTTCTGATCCAAGTAAACTGTTGGTCTGCTTAGAGTAAAATGTATGTGTGTGTTTTCCTGAATGCACTGTATTCCGGGTTTACTTTAGAGCCATGGGCAAGAGGGAAGGGCACAGCAGGAGTGTCCAGATGATGTAACAGAGATTTCATTCACTTCCCAGTGGTTAAAGAGCTTGTGCTCTCAGGAGCTGGTGGGAGGCACACTAGAGCCCGTGCTCAAAAGTAACACTCAGCTGGATAGGCCAAGCCCCATTCTTGCAGAGCTGGTGGCTCTATGAGGACGTTGGTCAGGTTCAGATCACTTGAGTAGTCTGCTGTTTGAGTAAAGGAATGATGAATGAGTCACAGGAGAGTATGTTCTGCTTGACCCTAAAAAGGACAAGTTTTAACAGTATATTGAATTAAGTGAGAAAAGGCTATCAGCAGTAGAAAAAGAATGACCACAGGGTCCAGGACTGAACAGAGAGCCTCCTGCAGACAGATGCAGCCCAAGGAACTAGTTCCCCCTTTGCATGGGCATGGGCCCCGAGATACTCAGTTTAGTTGAATACCAGGGTTTCCTTGCATAGGTAAAAAAAAAAAAAAAAAACTTAGTTTATTGAACATGTGTACTGAATTAACATATAAGTGTTTAGGTCCAATGCAGGAGTTTCTTTTTAACAAAACGTGGGATATTTACAAACAAAATTAGTCAATTCAGAATGGATTGACCTTGGGCCACAGTGGTACTTCCTAACTACCCCAATCCTAAGAGAGCTTTGCCTTTATGCATGGCCCAGGATGCTTATTTTAAAAAATAAAAATAAATAAAAAAAATCTGGCTCTCCCTGGCCTGCTGAACTAAGATTTCAGGCCTAGAAATTTCTTTAAGGCTCCCAGATGATTTCTATGATTGGACATGTTTTGAGAGTCTGAGGAATGAAGAACTAGCTAGATCTGCCTGGGGCCTCCATGGTCACAGCCACCAACAAAGTGTCTTCACACAGACTTGATACTGACCTGTACCAATGAGTTACCTAATTCATAATTTCTCTGTGACCTACCATGTGTCCTGGCAGAGAAGGATTGGGTTTACCATGTCTTAGTCTAGGAAATTGCATTGTGAACCATGGAGAGAAGCCGGTAACCAGCAGAGGGAATATGGCAGATATATCAAGGGGGCCTTAAGCACACATCCTTAAATTCCTCCCTCTTCTCTACCCATTCTCTTTGCGGCACCCTCTTTGCCTCCTGTCTGCTGCCCTTTTTTCTTCCTCTTTTCCCTCTTCCAAGTAGGAATATGAGCTGTTTAAATTTAGCTGTTGAGTCCTACACACTGGCAATCCTTACTTCTAAGACTGTTGAGAGGAGAGCCTACAGTTAGGCTACTGGCCAACTATCCTCAAACCTACTCCTCATGTGTACCCCAAGTGTAGGAACAGTACTTTGGGACAAAGAAAATGACTACAGTATAATGCATTGGAAGGCAGTTTCTTATCAGAAAAGTTCAGAGCCTGATGACTGGCCTAGCAGCAGGTGATGTGGGTCGCCAGAGCACCCTCCTGCTCTGTGACCAGAGGAAATCACACCATGAGTTCTGAATTCCTCATGATCCTAACATTAGTGAAGCTAAGTTACATCTTTTTCCTGGCTCACTTCTTTACAAATAGGAGACTTAGGATGCTGCTGAATACCTGAGTCTTGTTAGGGTCATCATTCAGAACAGTAGCATCTGTTGAGAATTAGTGGCCAAGAAGCAGAGCATGAGAGGGCCTTGGCTCTTGAGCAGTGGAGTCATTGGAGGAAAAGCAAGCAGTCTCCACCAAAACCCCAGGCCTGACACCCAAGTTGGATCAGTACCACTGGAAGCTGCTAATCCCTTTTCCTCCTTTGTTCTGCTGCTTTGGGTTTATCTTGCTTTTCCTTTCCTAGTTTCTTGAAAAAAAACTTAGATTATTGGTTCAAGACCTTATTTTCTAAGCATTTTAGTATCTAAATTTCCCTCCCAACTGCACCGTAGTCCTGTATATTCTCTTAAGTTTCCTTTGAATTATTAAGAAGTGTGTTGTTTAACTTCCAAGTATTGAGATTTTCTGTTTTATTTCTGTTACTGATTTCTTATGTATGGCCAGAGAACACAAAGCTTTTAGTTCTCCTTAATGTTTCCAGGTTTATGACTCTGGATCTGGTTATCTTGGTGAATGTTCTATGTCACTTGCACCCTTGTGGTTTATCGTATTATTCAGTTATATATGTCTCCTCACTGGCTTTATATCTAGTCATTCTGTTCATTCCTGAAAGTGGAAGTGTTGTTGAATTCCCAACTAAAATAATAGATATAACATTTCTGTGTTTTGCTATTTCTTTTTTTAACTCAATGAATTTTGCTTCATATATTTTGAAGCTCTGTTGTTTGGTGAAGCAAGTGTAAGGGTCACAGTGTCGTCTTGTTGGAACAACCCTCTAATCATTAAGTAACCTCACTCCTAGACTCAAGAAATTGTGTTTGCTCTGAAGTTTTACTTTGTTGTAAATTAATACACCCATTTCTGTTTTTTGTTCTTCATTAATGTTTGCATGATATACTGTTTCCTATCCTTTTCCTTTCAATCTACCTACATCATATTTTTGAGGGTTTTTTTCCCCTCATGTTTTTATTGGTGCATTATAATTGTACACAATGGTGAGATTTATTGGTACATATTTGTACTTACACACAATATAACAATGTGGTCAGTATCATTCCCCTGTATTTCCCCTTTTCCTCCTTTCTCCTTCTGTTCTACTGATATGCTTTTAATTTCCAAGAGATCCATCTTGCCTACCATTTCCTTTTTCCTCTCTACCATCCACATATGAGAGAAAAAAAATCTGAATTTAGCTTAGTTTGCTTAACATAATGTTCTCAAGTTTCATCTGTTCCTACAAATGGCATAATTCCATTTTTCTTTATGATTGAATAAAGCTCCATTTTGTATATATACCATATTTTCTTTAATCCATTCATCCATTGATGGACGTGTAGGCTGGTTCCATAATGTGGCTATTGTAGAATTTTGTTTCTGTAAATGTGGGTGTGCATGTATCATATCATATGATCACTTTGATTCTTGAGTATAAATACTGAGGTACAGCTGGCTCATACGGTATTTCCATACCTAGTCAGGTATTGTGATACCTCCAGCATTTTAACTTAGAACTGTTTTGCCTATTGGGGGGTTTAGTAATATTAATTCTGCCTATCCTTAAACATGGAAGGTCTTCTTTCTTGTGTCTTTAATTTCTTTTCCTCAGTGTTTTATAGTTTTTATTGTAGTGATCTTTTACCTCATAATCTTTATTTTAACCATTTATTATTGATATGTTAG